CTTATTTCTGTACCAGTTTTTTTTTTTTTTCATTTGGTTTTCTTTTTCTTTTTCTTTTTTGCGGTTCTGGAGTTTGAACTCAGGGCCTGCACCTTGAGCCACTCTAAGAGCCATTTTTTTGTGATGATTTGTGTCAAGAGAGGGTCTCAAGAACTACTTGCAAAATGTTTTTGTTTTGAGGTAAAACAAAACAGGTCTAATCGATACTTATATGAATATCCCTTACAGGTCCTTCCTGTCCTTCTTTTTTCTTTTTTTTGGTAGTGGTGTTTGAACTCAGAGTTTCATGCTTGCTAGGCATGCATTCTACGCCGCATACACCATGCCTCCACCACCTTTGTCCTTCTTGCTATTCACTCACAGTACCTTCATTCAGCCAAAGCATGACCTTTAAAAATTTTTTTTGTGCTACTGGGGTTTGAACTTAAGGCCTACACCTTGAGCCACGCTGTTAGTCCCTTTTTTTGTGTTAGGTCTTGCAAACTATTTGCCCTGGCTGCCTTGGAACTGCAATCCTCCAGATCTCTGTCTGACTTCAATGACAGTAGTAGAGGTATATACAGAAGTACAGTGCCATGTTCAAAATGTTTAAGAACTATCTATCATGAAAATAATAGCATACTCTGATTTACAAAAGGATTGAATAATCTAAAATATGAGAAGTTCTTCATTTCCTATAAAATAATCTGCCTTTAGTGACTCTCACTCCCAAAGGTATTAATAGATTTTCAGTGTTATGATAATATTGTTATGTTGTTTATGTTATATAACTTACATGAAAAATGTGCAAACACCTCAAACTAGATAGCATTTACTGTAAAGTGGTTATCACTTACTCATTTAAAAAGCTTTTTTGAAACCTTTTTTCTTCCATAAAAGCACTTTATTTCTAATTTTTCTCCTATATACCCTTAATATCTGTAACATTTATAAAAACATATGTGCATATAAGTACATGACATTTGCCATATATCATTGGCTCTGCCATATCCCTTTATCAGTTGCATTTGTCCTATGACTTCTCATTTTTAGAAAATTGACAACTTTATCATACATTGATAAAATAACTATGGCCAAAGCTGAAAGACATACAATTAAAAATATAAAATGTATGAAAATATAAGATAGTGGTCATCTGTATCTAAAGACAGGGAAAAGACTGATTAGAGCTTAAAAATCTCAAGATGATTTTTAAGGCAAATCCATAGTGTTCCAGGTACAAAATGAGAAATCAAAGCTAAAACAGCTTCACTGACTGTGTAAATTCAAAGAAAGTCTTTCCAAATAAAAGTTAAAAGAACTTAGAATATTTAAACTTATTTATATAATATTTTTTGACATGAAAGGCTGTGGTTTTGCTTATTTTTAGCTCAAAAAAAAGGCTTTCACTATTGTTTTTTTTTGCAGTACTGGGGCTTGAACTCAGGGTCTTCACCTTGAGGAACTCTACCAGCCCTTTCTTGTGATGGATTTTTTCTGAGATAAGGTCTTCTGAACTATTTGCCCAGGCTGGCTTCAAACTTCAATCCTGATCTCTGCCTTCTGAGTAGCTAGGGTTATAAGCACGAGTCACAGGCTCCCAGCTCTCTAGTCTTACCTAGGCTTAATTTGTTAAATTTGAGATACTCCATCCATGAGAGATTGTACTTGCTTTCAAAATGTTAATTAAGTTATTACACAGAAAGTGTAAAGCTAGCACTCTTGCAAGTACCATACTGGCCAGGTGGCCAGTTATCCCAGCACCTGGGAGGCTGAGGCAGGAGTACTGCAAGTTGCAGGCTAATCTGCCCAATGTAGCTAGATCCTACCCCTCGCCCCAAACAAAATAAACAAAACAAAACCAGAATACTACCAGTGTTATTAGGAGTGGCTACTCTCCGAGGCCAGGGAAGGCTTTTCTGAGATCAAGGTGCCGTGAGATGTGCAGCACTGGGAAGTAGCAGGAAGAGAGGTCATTGTGCCTTCTGGATAAAGGGCATAGCATAGAGCTGGGCACCGGTGGCTCATGCCTATAATCCTAGCTGCTCAGGAGGCAGAGATCAGGAGGATTGAGGTTTGAAGGCAGCTTGGGCAAAGAGTTTGCGAGACCCTGTATCAGAAAAACCCATCACAAAAAAGGGCTGATGGAGTGGCTCAAGGTGAGGGCCCTGAGTAGTTTAAGCCCCAATACTGCAAAAAAAAAAAAAAAAAAGGCCCTGTCATGGGAGAGAGGAGAGAGCACAGCACCTATAAGGCCCTGACACAGGCTTTAGAAATTATATTTTTGTTATTAATTGGTTATTTATGGGTTACAGTCTGACATTTCAATACATGCATATGGTATGTAAAGATCAGATCAGGAAATCGGCCTATCTATCACCTCAGATAGCTATTATTTCTTTGTGTTGGGATTGTTGAATCTTTTAAATTAGGTTTTTTGGTGTTATTATTGTTGAAAAGTTAATATATGTCTCTGATATAAAATCTGAATACAAAAGAAAACAAAATGTAGAGGAATTTACCTTTCTATTGTAGATCCATGGTCTCTACTGTCAGAATGAATTTAATATATATTAAACTATAAATAACTAAAAATAATGGAATATAGTATATTTTCTTTGAAAAAGTGGAAGCATAGCTATATATTGTTTGGCAAGTTGTTTTGCTGTCCTGAAAATTAGAGACCCTGATATATAATGTGTACCATCCTTTTCCTGCGTCTTGCCATAGTTAACCACCATAGAGCTATAGTGTGTCCATCTAACCAGTCTCTGAAGGATGTATAATTAAGCTGCTTTCTATGCTTTTGCTATTAAAAATAGTCAGTAGGAACTAGGGTTTAAACACAGAGCTTTACACTTGCAAAGCAGATGCTCTACTGTGTGAGCCACACCTCCAGAACATTTTGCTACGGTTATTTTGGAGATGGGCTCCAAAATAGCCTATGGCTAGGCTGGTCTCAACCTCGATCCTCCTGATCTCAGCCTCACAAGTTGCTAGTATTACAGGCATGAAGGATAAATTCTTGAGTCAAATCTCCTACAAGTGAAATTCTGAGTCATAATAATGAGTGTTTTAAATCCTTGAAAGATAACATTAAACCGCCTTCCAATAAAATCTTTTTATTTATGATAGCAAAAATCAGCCTAATTTAAAGCATTTATTTTGGCATCTTTTTTTTTGGCAGTACTGGAATTTGAACTCAGGGTTTCACACTTGCAAAGCAGGCATATCACTTGAGCCACACCTCCAACCCTATGCCATCTTGTAGAGAATCCTTTATTACAGTGACACTAAAGAAAATGTCTAAGGTGGGTGCTGGTGGCTCATACCTGTAATCCTAACTACATGACAGACTGAGATCAGGACGATCTGGGTTCAAGGCTTGCCCAGGGAAAAATAAGATTGAGAAATCCCCATATCCAAAATAATAAATGAGCGAAATGAACAGGAGGTGTGGCCCAAGCATTAGAGCACCTGCTTTGCAAGTGTGAAGTCCTGTGTTCAAACCTCAGTTCCACCAAAGTGGAAAAAAAAAAAAGAAGAAAAAAAAAGAACATGTCAGTATTTAAGCAACTCGGGATTTGTCAACAAGTACTAGAAGTAAAACTAATCGGAACTCTCTAAGATCCTCCTGACACCCACGTGCTATATCATGTCAAAAAATCATATACCCATGTCTGGTTATGTATAACTGTTGAAATATATTGCAATTGACAATATTATATTTTAAAAAGAGAAACATCAATTAAATATCAATATCTGTTAGTGTTTTGGAGACCATTAATTACCTCTCCTCCCCGAGTAAAAATTTAGTGAGCCTGCAAAACCTCATATGCCCTTAGACACTGTTCTTTTAGAGCTTAATGGTTTAATGTCTCTGAAGCTAATTTGAAAAGCAAATTGCCTCATTCTTGCTCTTCATATCTTTCTTTCAAAGGGCACATCTTAAAGAGTTGCTTATTCTTTACTCTTCTTAATTCATTTGACACACTTTCAGATTTTCAGCTAATCCTTTGCAGCGACACAAATACTCTGAAATTCCCTAGTCACAGAAAATATCACAATGGTAATTAGGCCAAGTCTGTGCTGTTTGTGGAGCAGGATTTTTGTTTGTGTTCAAGGACTGATCCTTCTTCTGAGAATAGAGCTTTGGGTGCAGGTGAGTGGTAAATTGTTACACTAGACTGCTTCCTTTTTCCTGCAAGGTTGTTGTTGTTAATTGGGTAACAATGAAGGCATTTTGTGTGAGGTTTTGAGGTTTCAAGAAGTTTTCAAAGCCACATTATCTTTCTCATCAGGCAGTTTCTCTGAGCACTTCAAAAGAAGATAATGATGTTCTAAACAGCTCAAGTTTGGGTAGCTTTTAGAAAGCTGCCAATAGTTCTGCGTCCTCAGTACTTAAAAATTTGATCCTCACTCCTGTTTCAACCGTGGTAAGCACTGGGGGCATTACAGAGTTCAGTGCACCTTACAAGGAAGCCTGCCTACGATTAATGAGAATGTGTTGCAAATGTGGCTGTTTTCCTATAGAATCGTCACGCTAGCGTTTGCGTCTTTCAACATTGCCCTCAGGACAAAGGGTGGGAGGGTCAGGGGCACAGGCTGTTGTAAGAACAGGCTATTTGGCCTGTTTGCAGGTCCTAGGTTTTAATACCGAGCAAGCCTCTCTCCATGTCTTGGGCACACCTCTGGCCTGAGGTCACACAGACACCCGGGTGGTTCACAGGAGTCACATGGCAGCTTCCCCAGGCTGGCATTCAGGAATGATTCCTGCAGGGACCAACACCACGTGGACGCACAGACTCCTGCTGCCCCTCACTTTCAGTACGGGATGGACGGTGTGGGAGACGCTCCAGGCAACGCCTCTGCTGCCAGCCAATGAGGAGCGGAGACTGCATCGGGGCCTTCGCTCATTGGGCCGTGGCGGCCCCGCCCCGCGGTGATTACAAGCCTCTTGGTGGCTAATAAAGTCTCAGCCTCAGAGTCTCGGTGGCTGGCTTTTTGTGCGCAGCGGGTTGACTCAGCCAGTGTGCTTCTGCTCTCTCCAGCCCCGACGCCCCGGTTTCCTACTTACTTCTTTTTCGCTTTTTACCTTTCTCTTTCCTTCGCAGTTCAGCATGCAGAAACAAGACGCCTCCTCGCACGGGTTCCTGCCTAGCTTCCAACATTTCGCCACGCAGGCCATCCATGCGGGCCAGGAACCGGAGCAGTGGAACTCCCAGGCTATGGTGCCTCCCATCTCACTGTCCACCACGTTCAAGCAAGGGGCGCCCGGCCAGCATTCGGTGAGCTGGGCCTGTCTGGGTGCTGTCCAGGCAGGCTGGGCGGGAAAAGAGAGATGGCTTATAAATTAACAAGGCATGCAAGTGATTTATAAGGAGTATTAGGAAGGCACCTGAAAGGATGTTTCTACACTGCAATCATTGCTTTATGCTTTGTATCAGTTGGCCCAGTGATCCTATTTCTTTTGATAAGCAGGACGGGAAGGGGCAGTTTATTGAATTTGCCATGTAGATTTGGACTGAAATTCATGTGATTTTGGCAAAATCTCAATTAAAAAACGAAGGTCATAACTTCTTTGAATTATTCTTAGCAGCAAAAAGTTTAAAGATTTTGTAAGGAGTCAGCTTAGACAAATGATAACTAGAATTAAGATCATTCCCAAGAGCCATATTCAAGTTAGTCATTGTTGAGTGTCTACAATGTGCCAGATACATATGTAAACAAATCATGTGTGACTTATCTATTCCTAACAACAAAACTATTCTGAATAACAAAGCTAAATAAAGGCTCATCATTGATGGAGGTGAGTTCCAAACACCCTCTAGAATCCCACTCTGAGGTGCTGGTAATAATTTAACACATTGCATCACATAAGCATTGTAGCTCAGTGATTCAGAGCACAAGTCATGTAGTGAAACGACATCAGCTTGAATTCTGACATCTTCTTTTCTGAGCTGGGTAATCTTGAGGAAGTTATTTTATCCATCCAAGCCTCAGATTAGTCCTGCATAAATGGAGATAATAAGAGTATCTGCCACATAAGTTGCTGATGTTTGTAAAGCTAAATGGTGCATAATAATTACTGAGTGGTAAGCTAGTGTTTCACAGAGTTCACATTTACACATTTCCATTTGGTCATCACAACAACCTGGTTAGAGTGCAGGCCAGGTACTCTGTACTTTCTATAGAAAAAGACCTGATCCAGACTTATACAAAAAAAAAAAGCCTGTGTGTAGTCTTTGATAATCATGTAGTTTTTTTTTTCTTTGGTGGTACACCAGATGATTTTTGGAGTATTTAAAAGTTACTGGGGCTCCGAAGAAATTAGTTAAATTAACTTTAGAGGTCCCAAACTTTAATTATGAAATCACTTTCTGTGTTATTTAAGACAAGGGAAAACTCTTACAGACTTAGTCCTTTGGTTTGTGAGGTTGAGTTCTAAGGACACTTCTACAAGTGGTAGCTATTGTACTTTGAAGTAAAAATGTCTAGAAAATCTTTCTTCCAAGCATGCAGTTTGTTCCTTGTGTAGGTTTGCTGAATGTGTGGCAGTCCAAGCTTTGAAATTTAGCCCAGAAGTTAACCATTCAGGTATGATATTAATAATTAAATGTTTTCAGAAGGCAAGCAGGGATGCTTAAACCCTCATTCGGCTTTATGCCTTTAAATAATCAGTTAAAAGCATTAAAGGGAATTTGAAGAGCTGAAAGAGAGGCCTCTAATTCTTTAGTTCCATTTGAAAATCCATTGAGTGGATGAGGCAATTTGCCACTGAAATATGCTTCTTCTCCTCCCACAAGTGAGTATTTGTGGAAGCATATGGTTCCTTTCTATGGCTACTGCCCATGAATCCAAGCTATTTTTTTTTGGCCTGGAGGGTACAGCTGCAGGTGACTGAAAGGAGGTTATGAGGAACTCCTGGAGCTCTATAAAATATGTCTGCTCAGTTTGTCAAAAACAAGGAATCAACACAACGAAATTTTTAAAAGATTTTATTAGTAATCTGGGAGCTCCCAAATCAGAAACAAAGATGTAAGGAGTGGTTGTGTTATGTTACATGCTATATAAGCCAGGGGGAGAAAATTATATGTATTTTTTTTGTGTGTGTGGGACTGGGGTTTGAACTCAGGAAAGTAAGTACTCTACCACTTGAGCCACACCCCCAGTCCATTTGTTCTGGTTATTTTGGAGATGTGGTCTCATGAACTATTTGCCAGGGCTGGCCTCAGACCTCCAGCTCTCAGCCTCCCAAGCACCTAGGATTGCAGGTGTGAGCCACGTGGTGCCTGGTTTGGATTTTTTTTTTTTTTTTGGATATCTATGTATGTATTTTTTTTTTATTGTTGTACTGGGGATGCATTGTGACATTTACACAAGTTCTTACAGTATATCATTGTCAAATTCACCCCCTCCATCATTCTTCCTCATCTCCCTTCTTCCCATATATTGTATACACATGTATATAAATGGAAAAATGAAACCTGTTAAAACTATTCCGGTTTGGACTTTTAATCGATATTCACATCTTAGGTTTGGCTTCTGACTGTGACACCTCTGAGGTCCTATAACATTTGGCTTTACTTTACTTAAAGCAGGTCATGAGGTTAAATAAAATGACTAGATGAATATATATACTATGGTACCATAACTGGAATAGGAGGATAAAGAAAGTTTTTAAAAAGTATCGTGTGATGGTGCTTTGACAAGAATAACCTTCCATTTTTTGGAGTCTCTTTTGTAGACCTAAGATCTGAATCACAGTGAGCTGGTAGGGTTTGTTCATAACTTCTTGTTGTGTGCTAAATAGAACTTGCATCTCTTATTTCTTAGGAAATGAAATACAGGATAGAACCAGGTCATTCTGTTGGCTCATATAATTCCCTTTTCTTTTTTTAGGTGTTTCTGGGATTTGAATTCAGGGCCTCACACTTGCTAGGCTGACTAGGAGGCACTCTACCACTTGAGCCACTCTGTGAGCCCTGTTTTTTGTATTGGGTTTTTCAAGATAGGGTCTCTCAAATGATTTGCCTCAGGCTGGCTTCGAACCACTATCTTCCTGATCTCTGCCTTCGTGGTACCTAGGGTTATAGGCATGAGCCACCAATGCCCAGTATATTTAATTCCCTTTTCCTAATGTCTCCAGACAATAGGTGAATCTAACATGGTAATGATGCTGTACAAATATTAAAAATTGCCACTTGTCTTGTGGTTAGCATGGATCATGAAACTTGCAGTGAACTTATGCCTTATCTCATTTTATCCTGACAACAATTGTACGAAGTAGATATCTATATCCCTCCTCCCATAGATATTGAGATGGTCTCTTGAAAGTGTTGAGTTATTTACTTATTGGTACCCACTCATAAGTGGCAGATACATAATTCTAACCCAGTTTGATCATCTTCAAAGCTTCTCCATTATCACCACAGCCACAACACTCACACTTCTGTCTGTTGTTAAGACATCATGATTAAGAGAACCATTATGGTAGGAAGAACCCATACTTGTGGAGATATCTTCAATAGGGCTCTGATAATAAACTTAAAGCTGTTAGGATGAACTCTTCTTTTTTTCAGGGTTTTGACTACAGCCGTTCTGGAAATCCCACTAGGAACTGTTTGGAAAAAGCAGTGGCAGCACTGGATGGAGCTAAGCACAGTAGGTGACTTGTACTTCCCCATAGAGTCTAGAATCCTTTTTACTTGTATAGAGATCATCACAGAGGCACAGAGTGCAGAACTAGAAAGAAATATGATTTACTTATATAAAGCTTTTGTTTTAATAAAACATTGAATTCTTTGCCTAAGGTCTTTCAGATGGTATAATATGTATATGTATAATAATCATCTTGTAGAAATAAATATGTATACAGGTAAAATGCCAGGACTTACTATTTGTATTTGTGTGATTACATTCTTCATTGGAAGCTATTGATATAAATAGATAAAAATTAATTTTACAACTCTACTAATGAGAATATGAACTTTCTTATATTCTGGTTCATTCACTTAATAACTTGTGCCTAAGAATAGCACTAAAGTTTATTTGCAAAAGTCAACAACCCTTGATACTATGCTCTCAGAAGTTAAGATTTAACTCCTTGGATCTTTTTTATTTCATGAGGAAAGAGGATTACTATTATCTTTGTATTTTTTCATAGGGATGATACTAAGTAAGGGCAGAATAGTGAATAGATAATAAGAGTTTTATGTATCTATCATCATATATCATATATATTAAGGATATGTTATTCTTGAAGTAGAAAGTGGGCTTTTGTCATGGCATTGATTAGGGGACTTCTGGCAACTCAACAGTGATGGCTGACCATCAGTGGAGAGAGGGACATAAATTAATGCAAGTAAATACTGTAGGTTTTCTGTTTTAATCCCTTGGGTCTGTCTTTTTGGCATATTCTAATTTGATTTTTATATTAGGTTTGGCCTTTGCTTCGGGTTTAGCAGCCACTGTGACGATTACCCATCTTTTAAAAGCAGGAGACCATATTATTTGCATGGATGATGTATATGGAGGTAGGTAACTCTCTAACTCATATTGCGTCAGATGATATTTTAAAGATAATAAAAGTGAGCTTTAAATTGTATTATCAACAATGCCAGTATTATAGATCATTTATTTTCTCTCACAGGTGTGACAGGCAGCTCTATGCTGGCACAGACTTGGCAAAAGAGAAGCATAGATTCTTAGGGCTCCTGCTATGGAACTGCTTATAAGAGAGATTGTTTGATATGAATTGTTTTAAGCTGCTGGAATAGGATTTGGACTTGATCAGCCTTTAGACATATTCTGCTCTAGAGAAGATAGTGTTTAGGGAAAATGGGTTTTAGTGTTGCTTAAAATTTTTACCTGCTGTGAGGTGAATAGTAAGGCAGGTGACTCCCAAAGAATTCAGCCCTACCCATCCCCACCCCCTCCTTATTTATTTATTTATTTATTTTGGTTTCAAGGTACTCTGAAAATCTTTTGACAGCTATGGAGCCTTTCCTGCCTATCCCCCTCCCCACCATGTTCTTAAGACTATACCAAGTGTTTAGCATTTTAACTTTGAGTTCTCACATATTAGCCTCTTGAAGTCCATCCATGGATCCAAATTTAAGAACTTCCATTCCTAAGAGTTTACATGTTGGCTATGTGAGTGGTGAGTGGGGAGAAGACTGGCTGGTCCTCACCTTTATTTATTTATTTTAAAAATTTCTTTTATTCATATGTGCATACAATCTTTGGGTCATTTCTCCCCCCATCCCCCACCCTTCCGTTTTCCCTACCCCCTCCTTCCCCCCCCACCTCCTCGCTACCAGGCAGAAACTATTTTGCCCTTATCTCTAATTTTGTTGAAGAGAGAGTATAAGCAATAATAGGAAGGACCAAGGGTTTTTGCTAGTTGAGATAAGGATAGCTATACAGGGAGTTGACTCACATTGCTTTCCTGTACATATGTGTTACATTCTAAATTAATTCTTCTCGAACTAACCTTTTCTCTAGTTCCTGGTCCCTTCTCCTACTGGCCTCTGTCGCTTTAAAATTTCTGCATTAGTTCATTTGCATTGTATCCTCACCTTTAAATAAAACTGATTTGTGTGTGCTAAAACAACAGCCAAGAATTTTGTAAGTGTACATATAAATTCCAAATGTTTCCCAATAATCAAAATATGACTTCTAGAATATTATCATCTTATCTATCTCCTATCTGAACAAAAAGTTAACTCTAATTTCTCTGAAAAAAGGGATTTGTTCTTGGTCATCATTTTATCTGTCAGAAAGCTGCACTCTGCTTTGTATTTTACTTTTTTTTTTTTTGGTGTGACTGAGGTTTGAACTCATGGCTTCATACTTGTTTAAGTTTTTATAATGGTTCATTGAATTGAAGTTATAGCAATCTTCAATCTTTAGTAACTTTTATTGTATCATAAAAACTTACAAACATAGGTATAAAATCATGAAAATTATTGATTTTTTTTTTAACAATTCTTTTTTTTTTTTTTGGTACTGGGGCTTAAACTCAAAGCCTACACCGCAAGCCACTCTCCCAGCCATTTTTTGTGAAGGGTTTTTTTGAGAGAGGTCTCTCAAACTATTTGCTTGGGCTGGCTTCAAACCATGATCCTACTGATCTCTGCCTCCTGAGTAGCTAGGATTACAGGCATGAGCCACCAGAGCCTGGCCATAACCAGTTATTTTCTGCTACCAAAGTATAATCAAGTTTATTTTGAACATTCTTTTGACACTGGTTTATTTATTTTAGATTTGTTACAAAAGGTATTGTGATTCAGGGAGCATGTTCTTAATGTTTAAAGGGTAGAGATTGGGGTTTTGAGAAATGTTTTCTGCTTTGTGTCACTTGTTATGAGTATCACATGTGTTTTATTTGACTCTTGATCTTTTAAAGTCTAAATCTTATTATTCTATACTATACTGGGTAGCCAAATTACTTAACTAAACTAAAATTGCTTTTAATTGCACTTGTATTGGTGATTGAGAATTTCTTATATTTTAAAAACAATGTTTTTCATTTTACAAAGAACAAACATTCTTCACACAATGTTCTTTCCATTTTATCTGATTCTCCTCTAACTTAGGTACGAACAGGTACTTCAGGAAGGTGGCAGGTGAATTTGGATTAAAGATTTCTTTTGTTGATTGTTCCCAAACCAAATTGCTAGAGGCAGCAATTACACCAGAAACCAAGGTAACTGACTAGTTTTCAGTTTGTTCTGCCCTCTCTGTGCTGTCTTATTTTCATCCTTTCTGTTTGCCAGAGGATATAATTTAAATCTGAATAACAAATTTTATTAGAAGCCATTGGAAACATTGACATGATTAATATAGGCTGATATATTCCAGGCATTATAGCATAATGATTATAAATTTATATATGAATTCTGGGGTGAAATTCAAATTATGATTCTTTATCATAGTTAGTGTCTTATTTTGTGCAAATTATTTAGCCGTAGTCTTTCTTTATTTGTAAAATGAAGGTAATCATACCTGCTTCATAGAAAGGTACTTATGAAAACTAAATGAGATAATGCATTGAAATGCTTCATTAAGTACCTGGATATGTGGTAGTGTTAAAATTTTCCATGCATGGACTGGGGATGTAACATGGTAGTAGATTCCTTGCCTAGCGTGTGTAAGGCTGTGGGTTCAATCCCCAAAACCACAAGAAAATTTTTTTTCTATTCAAGAGCACACAATTCTTAACTGCATTATCAAGCTAGTATGGGTAACAGGCCATCACAGAGACTGTATTATAGAAAGGAATTCTGCCAAACTACAGACTCTAAGCACAGTGGCCTTTTCAGAGCCTTAAAGGATCCTGCTGCAAATAATAGAAGTAGACAATGTGCCACCAGCAGTCTTTAGCCTCAGTCCTGGGAAGCTTGTATGCCACCGGAAGGTGTTTTGTGCCTGAGTGAATGGAAGATGTGATATTCTTTCTTGGGACCTCATTTAAATTCTGCATGAGTAAAAGTACCAGTGTCTTTTATAAGTCAGCCTTTCTCAACTTTTTGCTAAGAATTAAAAAATATCCAAGATTATGTTCAAGTGAATTCTAAAAAAATGACAATCTTTTCTCACATAATTTCTTTGCAGAATAACACAGGGCTGAGCTTTTGCTCATTAAGGTTTGTTTTCAAAGGAACTTATTCATTTTTCTTGAAAGAAAAGACACTAGTTGGAGTCTTTCTTAGACAGGAAAGCAAATTGTGAATATATTAAGTTTTGTACAGAGAATTTTATATAATGGTTCTTTACTGACTTTAATTAATAGATTTTTTTTTCTCCCTCTGAAATGCCACGCTTGGCATTTCAAGTCAGTTTTTTAAGTCTGCATGAAAACTATTTTGTACTTAATTTGCTTATTTTTCATTTTTATTTGTTTTTCTTTTACTATCTGCAGGAGTAATAATTTCTTAGCCAGGAATCATTTATATAGTTCTTTGAATAAGTCAAGATTTTTATAGAAAATGCATTAAAAATTTAACTACCTTATATTTTTTTACAGTGAAATTCTAAAGTAGGAAGTATATTAAATTAGAAATTAGATCTCTTGCCCATTTATATGGCTAATTAAAAAAGAATCATTTGTCCCTTTAAAAAGAAATCTGTGGATAGTGCAATTCAATATACTGGCATCTTGTTTAACAAACAGAATTCCCTCCTTTTCTTTATTTTTTTTCAATAGCTATCGAGTATCTACTATGTGTCTAAATTGTGGTGGGGTTGGAGGTATACAGGTATACTATCAGAGCCACTCCATCAGCCCTTTTTGAGAGATCTCTTAAGTGAGCTGCAACCAGGTGTTCTGGCTGTCACTTCTCTCCTTCAGCCTAAAGCTCATGCTGTTCTTCAAGTCCTAGGTGTTTATTTAACTATTGGAGATATTTTTGGCATCATAAGCATAATTCTGACTAATGAAAAATCCTATGATACATTCTTAAACAATCTATATTATTTATCTTTCAGAACAAAATTTCCAGACATTAAATTATGTTTTGGGAATAAGCCTCCTTTTTATAAAAAATAATTATAATAGTTAGCCTTAGCACTCTTTTGCTTAGATGTATGTTATCTCATTTTCATCCTTATAACAACTCTATAAGGTAAGCATTACCAACTCCAGATTAGGAATTGGAGGAAGACAGAGGGTAATTTACTTAGCTACAGCCTCTCAGAAATATGGAGGATTCAGACTTGAACCTTCCAGTTCATTGTCCATATGTTTATTATCTAATGTAAAAGCCTCCTAGATTGTTACAAAATATGAGATGTATGTTTAACTATGAGATGTGTGTTTGCACAGTACATTTTCACAAACTATTGTTATTTATTAAATTATTTTAGCTTGTTTGGGTTGAAACCCCCACGAACCCTTGCTTGAAGATGATTGACATTGAAGCTTGTGCACATATAGTCCATAAGCATGGAGACATTATTTTGGTTGTGGATAACACTTTTATGTCAGCATATTTCCAGGTAAATGAAGATACGGGTTTTTTTGGTATGATTATAATAGTCTACACAGGTATATGTAATTGGGAAAGGACTAGGTTACATTAAAATCATCAAACTCATGAAATTTAGTCACAATTATTGATGAGACAAATTATTAAATTTGGACATGTTCTTAAACTATTAGTTTGTATCTTTTCAAGTCTAAATTAACATTTGTGTGGTATCTGTGTAAAGTCTTGCCTACATTAAAGTTTTCTAGTCCTTTTAGGATGTGTAAACTCAAGAAGAAATTGACCATATTAGTTGGGTGCCAGGGGCTCACACCTGTAATTCTATCTGCTTGGGAGACAGAGATGAGGAAGATTGCAGTTCAATGCCAGCTGTGGGCAAATAGTCCAAGAGAGACCCTATCTCAAAAATACCCAATACAAAAAAAAGGGCTGGCAGAGAGGCTCAAGCAGTAAAGTGCCTGCCTAGCAATCATGAGACACTGAGTTAAAAAACCCCAGTACTGCCAAAAAAAAAAAAAAAGAGAAATTGACCATGTTATATAATTGCATTTGCCAGTGCTTTACACATAGTAGGCACTTAAATGTTTATCCATTGGTTATAAAATAGTCATATTTTCACTCAGACCTCATGTATTTTCATGTAGATTATACATTAGCCAGATTAAAACCTTCAAAATAAAAGGAAGAGGTAAACTTAATGACATGATATCTCATTACATATCACATCTATTAGTTTTTCTTTCTTCTCTCTTTCTAGTTTCTTTTTTCCCTTCAGCACTACATAGACTATGCCACAGCCTCTGTATCTTTAACTTACTTGAATTAGAAGTTTCTACTTCATTTGTTTTACATTATAACTCCTGTCTTAGCCATTTGGGCTATTATAACTAAATACATTCAAACCCCAGTATTGCCAAACAAAATGTTGTAAACCTGGAGTCTTATAAACAGAAAATGATTTTTCACAGTTCTAGAGGCCAAGTCCAAGATCATGGTACCAACAGTTTCAGTGTATGGTGAGGACCCACTTTCTGGCTTCTCCATGGCACTTCTCCCAGTGTCTGCACAGGTGGAAGAACCCAGGCAGCTCTCTGGTACTCTGTTGTAAAGGCACTAATTCCATTTATGAAGGAGTCTGCCCTTATGAACACATCACCTCCCAAAGACTATTCTTACTGATGTGATGTTTAAGACCAGTTTTAACATAGGAATTTTGGGAGGACACAAAAATTCAGACCATGAATTTTTAAACTCTCTCTTTTCCCTTAGCCTGACATTCCATACAGCTGGCTGTTCTTTTCCATTCTCCCGCCCACCGCTTGTTTCTTTCTCTTTTTAGTTTTGTTCTTTTTGGTAGAGCGTCTATGGTATCTGTAACTGACTTGTGTGTCTTTTCTCCATGTGTTCTCCCTGCCTTTTCTCTGAGTAACTTGTGTTTCCTTTCCTTGTGAGGAATTGCCTTCTCCTTGTTCTTTTTTCTTCCTCTAATATTGTGTCATACTTAGTACACTTCCTGTAGTTCCTCTTTATCTTGCAGAGTTCCTGGAACCCAGCTCATTTTCTATAGAAAATGTTTAGGCAGATGTTTGTAAGTTCAACTGGTTTACATTTCCCACTTCTGTTCTGGGCTCTTGAAGTGGACTCAGGCTGCTGCCTCCATGTGACCAGCCAGTTTCCTGGGCAGTTTGTGTAAACCTGTTCTTTACCTTCCTCTGTTTGATTTGAGGGAGTACCACGTTTTATTTTTCTTTCCTGAAACTCACTAACTGGCTATATCACATTCAGATAGCTTCATGGGCCATCTACCTTTTGCTCATGGTGCAGCTCTGACAGCTTTTTGTGTCAGGCAAAACAATCTGTTTCCTAGTGGTAACCGCATATTATCTATTTGTCTCAGGTGATTTTCAGTCTTGGATTCATTTCTCTCAGTCCATATGCCACTTACATTAGGCTAGTCAACACAGCTTAGGGTAGCTTTAGTTATAATGCAGTGAATAGTGTAAATTCCCAAAGAGATTGCAGGAATTTTTTAGCCTGGCCTTGCCCTAGTTACCCATCAGGCCTGGCCCTTTCTCTCCTGTAGGTTCATTTTTTCTCTTTCTTTCTTCCTCTCTTTCTTTTTCTTGAAGCAGTCTCACTTTTTAGCCTAGGGTGGCCTAGAACTCACTATGTAGCCTAGATTGGCCTTGAACTTGAGATCCTCCTATATCACACTTGAAGTGCTGAGATTATAGAGGTGTGCTCCACCATGCCTGTCTAGGTCCAGTTTTTCTACCTTTCTGCAGACATTTCTCATGCCAGTGATTGGAATTTGTTGCATTTTAATTTGGATCAATTCTAGTTGATTAATCAGAAGTACAGTATCCTGAGAAAGCAATATGTATTGATCACAAAGCAAATCTCCCCCTGGAAAGGTCCTCTCATTGCCTTACCTTCACCAAAATTGAATATATGAATATATTCTCTTGCTTTTCTGCCTTTTGTCCTCTGGATCTTCCATAAGTCCCACAAAAAACAAAATGAATACACCAGTGTAAGTTTCAGACTACAGAATAGCACCTCTGGATTCAGGCAGCCTGAGTGTGAGCCTTGGTTCTTACTGGCTTTTTTTTTTTTTTTTGGTTTTGGTTTTTTGAGACATGTTTAGCTATGTAGCCCAGGCTGGCCTTGAACTTTTGATCCTCCTGCCTCCTACTCCTGAGTATTGAGATATAGGCATGTACCACAACGTCCTACAAGATAACTGATTTTATTGAGTTATGTAAATTATTTTGTGTTGTATAAAGTATTTAGCATGGTTCTTGGGACATAATGAGATCAACAGATGTTAGGGATTGGCTTTTATTTTTCCTTCTCTTTTGGCCAGGGAGTTTGCAGAATGTTAGTGCTAGAAATGAACAAGCACAAGCAGAGTGCTTTGGTAATAACTTACATCCTAATTTTAATCACCCTCAATGGAAAGGTCCCACAGCACCCACACTAATGCCTTCCAAACACCAAATGGCTCTGGTGATACCAAGATGTGTATATACACTGTTATGTCAATGTACACGGGAAGGTGTTGCTAGTATACTGTTTAGTGGATAAGCTGATCATGACTTTAACTCTCACCATAAACAAAGACATTTATAGCCACATGTGATGATCATGCCTGCAATCCAGCATTTGAGAGGTGGAGGCAGGAGGAACACAAGTTTGAGGTACGCTTAGGCTATGTAGCAAGAATCTATCTTAATTAAAAAAAAAAAAGGACATTTTAGCAAAATTGCACAGGAGAAAACAATTCAAGCAAACTTGTATATAAGTGACTTTGTACTTGTCATAACTACTACATTAAAAGAGTAATTAACTTTCAAGATAACAAACTAAGTCTGTGCTCACAGTATACCTCATAAGGTTGTTTTTGTGTTTTAACTTAATTTAATTTTGATTTAAAAAACCTACTGCACTTGAAGCTCTCTGGCAGTCTCCCCTCCAAGTGTTAACCAGGCCTGGCCTTGCTTAGCTTCCGAGATTGGAGGATATGGGGTGTTCGGGGTGGTATGACTCTAGGCCCCCATAAGGTTTTAATGAACAAAAATCTAAGCAGAGAGCCTGGAGGTGTGGCTGAAGTGGTAGAGTGCATGCCTTGCAAGTGCAAGGACTAGAGTTCAAACTCCAGTACCGGCCAAAAAAATAAAAAAATTACTGAATGTTACACAAACTATTTTATGTGTTTAATGAGTCATAAAAATGCCTATGTTTCTGCTGTAGATAACAAGTTTAGGGGCCAATCAGCAAACTGCTATAAAGAAACAGATTCAGGAGATCTGTTGATCTGGGTCTGACTGCTATTTTCATGGAACTTGTGACTTCAGATTCCACCCTGGGTCCAGTAATTTTTATTTTAATGTGTATTTGATGGGTGGGGGTCCAGGGGAAGATAGCATCAGAGATCTTTGAAAATTTGAACTTGTAGATACTATTGCAAAGCTAGTTTTGAGTAGAAAGGGAATGGAATTAACAACTGTAAATAGACAGATGATGAAGCATATTTTCAAATGATTTCTCATTTTTAACAAAAAGCTTTCATTTCTTTCAGCGGCCTTTGGCTCTGGGAGCTGATATTTGTATGTATTCTGCAACAAAATATATGAATGGTAAGATATGCACAGTCTTCACTTTGTTCTTTTCCATGGATAGGTAAAATAAAATACTTGACACTTTAGTTCCTTTTCTTCTATTGTTATATAGGCTTTGTCTATGACTCACGTAGAAATCTAAAAAATATGCTTTGATTAAATACAGGATTTCATTTATGATGGACAAAATGATGTTTGTGATTCATGAGAAAAAGATTCAAATTTACTATAAAAGGTTATGATCTTATTCTGCTGGCAGCTTGCAAAGTAACCTTTAGTTTTTATAGGATTTTTTACTTTATAGGATTGTTCCTGTCAAACTGAATAAAGTGTCCCTAAACTTATTCTATAGGCCTTTTTCTTTGCTTCCCTCCTCCCTCCACCCACCAAAAGTTATATTTTGAAAATTATGACATGAGAAATGAACATAGTTTTTAATGTTAATTGATTAATTTTATTTAATAAATTAATGAATTTATTCTTGGGTCCTGGCGATCAAACCCCAGGGCCTTATGCATACTAGGCAAGTGCTCTACCAGTCATTAATATTTTTTGCTTTGTTTTAGGCCACAGTGATGTTGTAATGGGCTTAGTGTCTGTTAATTCTGAAGACCTCCATAGCAGGCTTCGTTTCTTGCAGAATTGTAAGTATTAAAAAGCTCAGATTTCGTTGTATGCACCAGTGGGTCTATTTGATATTTGTTTGTATTTGCACAAAATGTTCTAAAATGTTTAGAGAGAAAAAAAATTCTGATTGTTAGAGGGAAGTAGAAAAAATGCTTATAAAAATGTTATAGTATAGCAAAGCTTTTAGACATGACCCAAGGAAACATTTGAAATGTTGAGTTTCATATACTATACCTTTTGTACCTGGAATTGTGGTCAATTTTTTCTTTTTTTTTTTTTTTTTTTTGTCTTTTCCTTTTTGGTGCTGGGATTGAACCCAGGACCTCATGCATGCTAGGCAAGCGGTGTACCACCGAGCTACATCCCAGTCCGTCAATTTTAAATAGAATATAACTTAAAAGTGTGATTTTTTTTTTTTTTTTCTTTTTTTATGGGTGGTACTGGGGTTTGAATGCAGGGCCTCACACTTGTTCAGAGACACTCAACCACTTGAGCCACTCCAGCAGTCTCAATTTATAGTTTTCAACAGATACCTTGACACCATTTCCTGTTTATGTTTATCTCAAGTATGGGATAAGGACTTAACCATTGCAATTTGACAGATAAGATAAAAACACAATTAGGAGTAAAAATGTCCTTCTTGGAGAAGCCAATTTACTGCTTGATAAATGGCTTTTCAGTTATAAAAAGTAGGACTGAGGTGTGTGTCCTGGTGCAAGCGAAATCATCAGGTGCTTTAAATGAAGGTTAAATAGAATGTTAGAGTGTTCAGTCATTAATGTCATTGAACTGCTATTTTTCTCTGTATATTATAGTAATTTTTCAAAGAAATGCAAGGTTTAACTATGCATAGTATAATGTCATTAAAAATCATAAAGGACTGTCTTCATATTTGAAAAGTTAATATTTCTGTGTTTTTACTTAGTTTAAACTAAAGTGTACACATTTACCATCTTACTTTAATGCACAATTCTCTTAAATATATTTTATGTTTCATTTTCATGCTTGGTTTGTTATATCAGGTTCTCCCGTAAAACTCAATGTTGAGTTTTGTAGCTAGCTTCTGACAGTCACTATAATGATGGGCCTCACTCCACCTTCAGACTACCCCAAGATGTGTTCATTTTCCAGCTCTTGGAGCGGTTCCGTCTCCTGTTGACTGCTACCTGTGCAATCGAGGTCTGAAGACTCTACATATCCGAATGGAGAAGCATTTCAAAAACGGAATGGCAGTTGCCCAGTTCCTGGAATCTAATCCCCGGGTGGAAAAGGTTATTTATCCTGGTATGTTCATCTGATTTCTAAGAAGATATGCTCAGACCAAGACTTTAAGGTTATCCTGAGCATTTTGCTTATGTAAAGTTTATTTGTAATTATGAACTTTCATGTATTCTTGTGTTATTTATTATTTATTTTTTGTTTTTTTGGTAGTACTGCTGCTTGAATTCAGGGCCTCCTGCTTGTTAGGCAGGTGCTCTACAGCTTGAGGCACTTCACTAGCCCTGTTTGGCATTGGGTATTTTTGAACCGATCTCTGGATCTCTGCTTCCTGAGTAGCAGGATAACAGATATGATCCACCAGCACCCATTTTACTTATTGTTGAATACTGCCATATCAGCTCTGTGGTAGGTCTGGTGTAAAGCAGATACACGATCTTGACTTTGGGATTCCTACAGTTTAGTGGATGCTTGAGTGTTAAGAAATGAGTCTTGGCTACAAATGGTGGTGCACACCTGTAATCCTAGTGTTCAGGAGGTGGAGGCAAGAGGATTGTGAGTTTGAGGCCAGTTTGGGCTACATAACAAGACCTTGTCTCAACATAAACAAAAATGAAAGTGAGAACAACAGCAGCAAAAGAAATTAGTTTAATATGCTAGGGGTTTCTGTGTTGGTCTTTAGCGTTAAGATTTGTACACTCTCATTCCAGTATTGCAGTATTGTACCCTTATTTGTTCATACTCTTTTCAGCACTAGTTCTATCTTTAATCTGATGCAGGTTTGTCACACTGAGACTTGACACTTAGGCACCAAATTTTCCCCAAGGTGTTCTAACTTTGTTTTTTTCAATTGCTTCACACCTTTCAGCATCTAGAAATGCACATGTGGAGTTAGCTGTGGTGGCTGAGTTTCTTTTGTTTGTTTGTTTTTTAGATCCTCTTGAGGTATCTAGTCATGTAGTTTGGTTATGTAGGATAGTGAAGATTTTGTCCTCAAGGAAATTAGATAAGCCAAGAGCTGTTGGCTGACAAATATCTTTGATGGAGAGAGGGAGAAGGGTTTACAATTGTGCCCTGAAGAATAGATAGCATATGTTAAAAGGGCATGGGCTCACTCAACAAATGTTTATTAATTACCAACTACAAGCCATGATTTTCACTAGGAATTAGGATCCAGTATTAACAAAAGAAGTAAATTTGTTCTCATGGAGATAGTCTGGTGGACAAGACATATTACACAAGAAATTACAGAAGGATGTACTTAAAGTGATAGCATGTGCAAAGATTCTGAGATGAAAGGGAGCACAGGATTGCTGGTATAAGAAAGCTGGGATGGCCCGAGCATGGAATGGGTAGAAAAGATATATTTGCCAATATAAAATGGAGAGGCAGGCAGGGACCAGAACAATAGTGAGATGTGAATGCAGCATTTCCCTCATTGTTGGGCTTCTGTGTAGTTTACTTAAGTGGACAGTGAATTTCCCCCCCAAAATAGCATGTTTGACTCCAAGTCTTTTATTATGCCTTCTGATTACAGGGCTGACCTCTCATCCTCAGCATGAGCTGGCCAAGCGTCAGTGCACAGGCTGCCCAGGGATGATCAGCTTTTATATTAAGGGCACTCTTCAACATGCTGAGACCTTCCTCAAGAACCTAAAGGTAACCTTTCCAAACAGGTTTTTAAATTGTAGAGGTAAGACCTCCTTACACCGTTCATTATCTCTCACTTTAGATTTTGTGCCTGCAGGCCATAAATTCATAAACTTCATTGTGAAAGCATTGGGTTGAAAATGATGCAAAGCACTAGGGGCTTAGTAGCAGACATCTGAATGGGTCCATTTCTTAACTTCCCACACCTTACATTCAGTTGGAGAGAGACAAGTCTAATGCATTGGTTTTCAAATTTACTTAAAAGCTAATACTTTTGAAGTGGACTACTATGTGAAACCTCAAAGTCATGTGAAGCTGGTGCACAGATTGTTTTGAAGTCTTTTCTATGAATGGCTTTCTAACCCCTGCACCGCCAAGGCTGGAGGGAAGAAGATGCATAGGGCAAGAGGAAGAGAAGGCCTTTGTCTAATTTTCAGAAGGCAGGAAGCTCTCATTAGCCCCAAAGGAGAGGCTCATTTAACTCTACACACTGTGCTGACCTTGACCTCATGGAGTAGAATTTGAATCATATGATTCAGCTATAATGAACAGATTGCAGCCAGATTAGTCACAGTTCCTCTGGTGGCTCAGCTCTGTCTCTAAACTTAGAAAGATGGTATTAATTTAATATAGTTATGAGAGTAATTTTTAGAACATTTTATAAAATTAAGCCAAGCATGGATGGTGACACATACTTGTAATCCTAGCTATTTGGAAGACTGAGGTAGGAGGATTACTTCAGACCATGACTTTTAGGCTAGTCTGGGGAAAATAGGAACAACCCGTATAAAAAAAAAAAGTTGTGAAATTCTATGATATTGTAACATTAGCTTAGTCCGTTTGTGTTGTTGCAGCAAAATGCCTGAGATTTGGTAGGTTAGCCTTTTTTTCAATCCTATCATGGAATACCTGAGGTGGGCTACTTTATAAAGAAAAGAAGTTTATTTAGCTCACAGTTTTGAAAGTATAAGATCAGGTGGCCCATCCATTTGGGGAGTGAGAGATCACAACACCATACAGGAAGGCAGAGAGTGATTCAGAAGTCAGCTTTGCTCTTAAAACAATTTGCTGTCATGAGAACTAACTCAGAGGACTGCCTGGGTTAGTAGTACCCTCAGTAACCTAACAACCTCTCCTTAGGTCTCACCTTTAAAGGCCCCACCATTAAACTGAAGATTAAGCCTCCAACACATGAAGCTTTGGGTGGGCAAACCACATTCAAACCATCACAGCACTGGGTGACTTAGAAAGAGGATACTTGGCCCACAATTCTGGTATATACAGGGTCCAAACAGCATGGCAGTGGAATCCTGGTGAGGTTCCCTATCTACATTACAACATGGCAGAGAAGCAGAATGGGAACTAGATGCATGCAGAAAGGGCACAAGGTGAACAAGTTGCCAAGAGACTGGAGGCAGCTATGCTCACTCTATATAGCAGCCTGCTTTCTCGGGTACTAATCCAGTCCCATGAAACCTGACTTACTCCCCAGAGTCAGCATAATCCATTCATGAGAGAAGTGCTTCAGTGACCTAATTACCTTCCTCTGGGTCCTGCCTCTTAAGGATTCTACTACCCCAACACCGTCACACAGGAGACTAAGGTTCCAGCCCGCAAACCTCTGTGAGACAAGCCATAGCAAAAACTAAATACAAAAGCTGAGGTTTTTTCCCCCTACTCCACTAGGGAGTAAAATGGATATATTAATTTAATAAGTGGTGCATATTAGCAAGTGTATACAGCTTGGTAAATGTGGTAGATATTTAAGTATAGGGCCAACTTAGGATGCTATAGGAGATTCACCTTAGACAGCTTTTCAGGTTTTAAGTATTCAAAGATAGCATGTCCAATTGGTGAAATCATTGTTAGAGACTTTCTTCTTCTTTTTTTTTTTTTTTTTTGTACTAGGGTTTGTACTGAGGGCCTTCACCTTGAACCACCCCACCAGCCTTTTTTTTTTTGTGATGGGTTTTTTCAAGATAGGGTCTCCTGAACTATTTGCTAGGGCAGGCTTCAAACCCCAATTCTCCCGTTCTCTTGCTGGGATTGCGGGCATAATCCTGTTACACTGGTGCCCGGTTTTTCTCTGAGTTTCTTGCTCATGTTGAGTTTTTACGTAATTGCCACAGTTCTCCCTCCCCTCTATGCCACAGCCACCTCATTTCTTTTTCTTTTCTTTCTTTTTTTTGGCAGTACCGGGGTTTGAACTCAGGGCCTCACACTTACTTGCTAGGCAGGTGCTCTACCACTTGAGCCACACCACCAGTCCATCACGACCATCTCATTGAAAACATTTACTTTCAAGATTTTTGTATTTTTATTTTTAGGAAGATCTAAATTTATGTTTTCTCTGGCAGTTATTTGTTCTGGCTGAGAGTTTGGGAGGATATGAAAGTCTTGCTGAGCTTCCGTGAGTATATTTCTGTTTTACTCAATATTGACTGATTGATTATTATTATTATTGTTACCTTGAAATGAAATGGGGTCTTGTTATGTTGCCCAGGCTGTTCCCAAACTCCTCTCTAGTGATTCTTCTGCTTCACTCTCACAAGTGCTGGGACTATGGGTGTGTGCCTTTGCAATCAACATACAGTGTCTTTTTTTTTTTTTTTGAGGCAGCACTGGGGTTTGAACTCAAGGACTCATGCTTGCTAGGCAGGTGCTCTTACTGCTTGTGCCACTGCACTAGTCCTTTTTTGTGGTAGTCTTTTTTTGACATAGGGTCTCTAGAACTGTTTGCCCAGGGTTGCTTCAAACGGCAATCCTCCTGATCTCTGCCTCCTGAGTAGTTAGGATTATAGACGTGAGCCACTGGCTCCCAGCAACTCTCAGTGTCTTCTACTTGATGTCATTCTTAATGATGTGTGAAAATGGAATGTGACAAAATTAAGGAAATAATTGAAGATATTTAACAATAAGAATAGTATGGCACTTAGTAATCTGAATGGACTGTAATTCAGTCAGGAGGAGACCTTGGTAAAATCTAATGGTGGGCTATGTGTTAGTAAGTTGTGTCCTCCCAGATGTTGCTTCCTTTCCTGTTCTGCCTTGAAGAGTTCCAGCAATAATTATATTCTAGGATCTCTAACCTTTGACCCAGTGCTACCTGTTCTACCTCACCTGGCCTTGGAAGGGAGGCTGGAGATTTTGTCCTGGAAAAGCTGTTATCAAAGCTCCTTGGGAAAGAAGAGAATGTATACCTGAAATTCCTTCATGCCCTTGGTTGTCAGAGAAAGCACTACTAGATACTGTCAAGTCTGTTTATTTTCTTTATAGGATAAGCATTTCAGGCTCCATGTTGTCTGCAAGATACAGCCAAAGTTGGTATTCCAGACTGCCCAGTACTTAACCTAACCAGTTCATCTGTTCAGTAAAACACCAGAGGGTATTAGAATAGGCAGCAGCCTAAGATCATGCAGTCCAACAGCTTACTTTATAGACGAGGAAAGGAAGTCCAGAAAGTTTAGTCAATTTACTGAAATGTCATGCAGAGTACTTTATGACAACTTTACTCTTCAGGTTTTGCATTGAAAATAGTGAGTGGAGGTAAAAGGAGGCCAGATGTGGATTTGATATGTTTCTGTCAATTATGTACCTTTAAACTTCACTTTTTTTCATCCATAAAATGGGATTAATAATTAAAGCACTGATTATCATTTACTGATTATCTGTCCTATCAAGCATTTTGAGCTGTATTGTGCCCTTTGTGTATGTTGCTATGACTACATATTGTAGTTATTATCAAGATAAGCCAGCATGATTAGGTAATAATTTTCAACTGTTCCAAATGCACATGATATGATTTTTGTGTTTTAATTTTCATATACATTTCTGGAATGACTATATCTTAGAAGGATTGTACTGAGATGTCAGGGATTACCAAAGTTTAGCCATATTTCCTGCCTTCTCAAAGCCCATAGTTGTAGAGAGAGTCAGACAATCTCACAGAAAAAATGACATCTAAATAATGATTTGAAACAATCCATATAACACAGCTTTTGATAGACTTTCAAGAAGATGCTTGCTAGTAAGTCAGGATGCACAAGAGGGCACACTCGGCATATGAAATTGTTTAATTTTTCACAGTAATGAAATGTGTATTGCTTTAAAGCTTCCTCCTTAAAAGTAGATGTCTCCTGATTTATTTAGGGATTTGGATTAAAGTTGCTTGGCCTTGAGACATCCTGCTTAGACTAACCCCAAAGTCAGTGGACAGGTAGATTTAGGTCTGGCTTGTCTGTTCTGTTACCCTTCATTCTTTCTTTTCCATCTCTGCCACCATTGCAGCAGCATTGCAATAAGGAAGAGAGCAAGTGAAGCCAAGGTACTGGGTTAAGTCTTCTGGACTAGAAAAGTTATATATCCTTGTAAATCTCAATTTCCCAGCTTTTATGATTGATTTGAGAACATGGCGGGGGGGGGTGAGGGGAGTGGGGGAGGAGTCCCTAAGCTAATGCCTTTGATAGTTACTGCTAGTAAGGCAAAATAAGTATTTACTACTACGAATTATTATTTTTTATTAGGTATCTGCTACATTCCAGGTACTTGTAACTGCTTTACATGTTTCCTTTCTTTGCTTCTTCTTTTTTTTTTGTGGTATTAAGGTTTGGAGTGAGGGTCTTGTGCTTGCTAGGCAGGCGCCAGTAGTTCTTGACCACAAATCAGCATGTCTCTCTTTCTTTCCCTTCTCCCTCCCTCCCTCCCTTCTTTCCTTCCTTCCTCCTTTCCTTCCCACACTCCCTAACTCCCTCCTTCCTTCCTTCAATTTATGCCTGTGAGAATTTTTTTAAAAAGAAGTTATATCCAATTTTTATCAAGTTTTTAAACAATTAAAAAGTGCGAACAAGTCACCTAGCAGAGTACTTGGCTCAAGGTAAACACACAGTAGGTGCTACCTGTTATTATTTCAGATAAGGAAATAGACTCAGGACAGGTAACTTTTACAAGGCGACAAACCCATGTGTGGAGGAAATAAGATTCGTACCCAAATTTATTGGTCTCTGAGGCCTGAGTTCTTATTTCTACATGTATTCTCTCCTTTAAGGAATTAAGAGGCTGCCAAGGCAGAACATTTTAAGGAGGATGTTTGTGTGTAAAAACTCCATTACAGCGATGAAACAAATATCCATTCATTTTTTCAGTCGATAACTGCAGGTTTTTTCTGTGAGTCTGAAATGAGATGAGAAAGCAGCTTAGGCATTAATTTCACTTATGGTGTGTGAGGAAATGAAGAGTATTGGTGGCTGTGAACACACTGGGGCTAAGTAAGACTTAAGTCTTTCCTCCGAGGCATCGCAATCCAGAAAGGTTTCTCCTTCTTCGAACTCTGACAATCCTTTTGTCCACACTTGTTTGGTTATTCTGTTTTGGAAATTGTCATAGTCTTTAGCTATTGCTTTGTTATCCAAGGAAGAGAAAATATCTCACTGTTCTTGGTTTCTTAGTTCTTAACTGTAGGCCAGGCGCCGGTGGCTCACACCTGCAATCCTAGCTACTCTGGTGGCAGAGATCAGGAGGATCACAGTTCAAAGCCAGCCTTGGCAAATAGTTTGTGAGATCCTATCTCAGAAAATACCCAACACAGGGCTGGTGGAGTGGCTCAACTGGTACAGCACCTGCCTAGAAAGTTTGAGTTCAAACCCTAGTACTGCCAAAAAAAAAAAAAAAAAAAATTCTTACTCTAGTGCCTGATATATAATAGATGTGTACTTTTATGCATATTGATAGTGATGAGTTTCTAGGCTGGGAAATTCTTCAAGGCTTCTGTGTCATGGGTTATAAGTTGGAGTTGCTGATGCTCAATGACTAATAGTGGTCTTAGGTTGTCTTTCCTGATCTACCTTAGAAGGGCCAAAATCTGGCTGATAATTCCTCATTTTTTACCTGTGAAAAATTATAAGGGCATAGAAACTTTGATATTTGGAGCAGAAGAAAACTAAAGGTAATTGCAACATATGAGACAGAAATACACCTTCAACATCACAATATAATGGTACAAATTTACTTATATCTTCTTCAGGGCAGTCATGACCCATGCATCAGTGCCAAAGAATGACAGAGATATCCTTGGAATTAGTGACACCTTGATTCGACTCTCTGTGGGATTAGAGGATGAAAAAGACCTGCTGGAAGATCTAGAACAAGCTCTAAAGGCAGCAGTAAGTTGTGTGTGAGTGTGTGCGTGTGTGTGTTTAATCTTGGGGTCATTACATTTACAAAGACTATCCTCACTGTGACTTATAAAGGTTTTACTTTCCTGCAATAGACATGGTAGATAAATGTGGAGGAAACTCTAAAAGCAGACTTAAAGGGTGGAAGTATTCAGAAGAGACTTCTTGGGGGGATGGTCTCTGCTCATAGGTTTAATAACATGTTCTTCTTGTTGTACTGTGAATATAGCACCCTTCAAGTGGAAATCACAACTAGCATTCCAGAACTGCTATTAGAAGCTGCTTTACTGAGAAGCTTGACTCTTCCAAATTATTGATGGCACCATTAATGAGCCTTTGCAGAATTTTCAAGTGAAAAATTTAAGGCACCTTATTACTGTTCACAACTGCAACCTTCCAGGAATCTTCCCTGTTAAAAACAGTTTTCTGTATATGTTATTATAACTGACAGATCAATGCTGTTGATGTTTTTTTGTTATACATTTGCCTCTGAAGGAGGTGAGATTCGTGCTGCTTTTTGGGATCATGTTCTTGTTTTCATCACCTAAGATTTATTTTGATGATGTTTACAATATAATGATAATTCATTTTTGATGTTTTGTGAAGTTAAATGATTAAATGAATGTCTTTAATCAAGTGTGATTTTTGCATAGTGAAAAAAATTATTCAAAGCAGTGGTTTACATTTAATTATCATAAGCCAAAATTTCAAATAATTGAAAAGATTATTATGAAATTCTATTGATTTAAGATTCTACCTATTACTTCGTTTTTTTTTTTTAATAAATCTAATTATCAAATGTATCTCATTGTGACATTTCTTGATCTAAGGGTTTTTATTTTTCCAGTGATACTGGGTTTGAACACAAGGCCTTATGCTTCCTGGAAAAGCATGCTACCACTTGAGCCATGCCTCCAGCCCCCATTGTGATAATCCTATATCTTGGTGGGTCTCTTTCAATCTCCAATGACTGCTCTTAGAGGTCTTCTCTGCCTCTTACATTAATTTTTATAAACTTAACTGAATATTGGTCTCAAATCTTAGAATTTTTAGGATATCAGAAGCTGATGAATCTTAGTGCTGGGTAGGAATGCATGAGAACACATATTCTTATGTATTGTCTACATTCTGAATTATTATACATAGAGAGTCTATAATTTTTGTCTGTTGAGGCAGCAGCATTTTGAGGCAGGTCTTATCTTACTGTATTCTGGCAGACCTGATTTCTTGCCATCTCAAGACCTTGCGGCTGAGGAAATAAACAAAGGCCAACCAAATGAAAAAAGTAAAGGTTATTTATCAGAGCTTGTGATAGCCAGAGTGTCAGCCACTATGACTTGTGTTTTCACAAGTCACTTAAAGACAGGCAAAGGAGTGGGAAAGCTCTAGAGTAGAAAACGAGAATGCTTCAGGTGTGCCTGAGTGGAGGCTGTTGACATGGGGAAGGTGGAGGGGAACTAACTAGAAGCAGGCATATGATATGAATGGCTAGGCTTGCATAACAGTCTTTCTCTGGTTGGTCTTAAATTGGAAGCAGGTACAAAACTTAGGCAAGCTGTCTAGTTACAAATCCTGGCCATCTAAGGCCAATTGTTACCTAAGTTGTTTAGTCTTCTGGATTATCACTAGAGATAGCAATCTAGATTCCTTTCAAGTAGGGCTTACAACAGGCTGACTTTCTGCACGGTTTATTGTAGATAACGGGGTCAATTTCCTGGACAGGTGGATCAAAGTTCTATTTTCTTACTTATGGTCTGGCCATTGTCAGTATATTCAGTGTCGTCTCGGCTGCTAGGAGTGCTGAGTAACTACTTCCGTGTTAGTCAGGCTCTCCAGATAGCGTAGCAGAACTAATAGGGTGTGTGTGTGTGTGTGTGTGTGTGTGTGTGTGTTTATGTTTGCATGTGTGCACACACGCTCATGAAATCCAGAGGTCTGACAAATGTGAAATCCCTGGGCAGCAGACTGGTAAACTGCAGATTCTAATAACTAACAGTTATTGCCAAATTAAAGAGCAGAACAGCAAACTAGAATACAGGCAGGATTTATATGTTGCAGTTTGGAGGCTTAAGGAAGTCTCACTCTTCACTCTTAAGGTCTTGGATAAAGCCTCCTCACATTACAGAGGTTAATCTCCTTTATTTTTACAGCAGCATCTAGTCTGGTGTTTGGAAAAACAACAGTTGACACATAAAATTAACCATGTTCTAGGCATTGTTCCTCCCAGCCTGAGAAGGCACCATTATGTTCATTAGGGCTTATGAAGTTTATCTGCAGCTATTTGGTATCCCTCCATTAACACTTAGAAGATGATTCAGTGTGTAAACCCCGTCCCCCAGCCTCTCATGGTGCACGTGCTGCAAAGTGGCTTATAGAGGGGAACATAACTGCTCAACCATTCTGGTCAGGTCAGATGAGGTCAGACTTCTAGGACAGGACTTTCACTGAGGTGCTTTGTAGGGCACATTGTGCACAATTCCATTCTAACCTTGTGTTCATTACATTCACTGTTAAAATTCTATAAGATTACTATCACCCAAAGATATTAGATAATATCTTAAGCAGATACACAGTACCTTATTTGTACTTTTATTCAAACGTTTAAGAGACCCTTATTACGGAGACCAGAAAGAGAAATAAACTTATTTCTTTTGCTTGTGATTCATCATGCTCACGTATTTGTACTTGAGAGCTATTCATAGTTGACTCCTAGCTATTTTCAATTTATACAATTAAAAAAGATAGAACTTACTTTTCTCAGTGCCCTTCTACATTTTCTTTTAGTTTTTTTCAGTGAATTCTATTGTAGGTAAGATGAATAAAATAATCCATTATTTTGTAATTTTGTGCTAACATCTTCCTGCTCTGAGATGTGAAAGGTAAATAAGAAAGAAACAATGAAAAGTGAAATATTTTTTAAATTGAAAACTCCTTTTTAATAACAGAATAATATAGACGACCTAACTCCTCCATGGAGTCAGGAAATAGCCTGGAACTACAAAATATATTTTCCACAAAGATGAGATCTTTTTGGTGGTATAGGGGTTGAACTCAGGCCTCATATTTGCTAGGCAGGGGCTCTACAACCAGCCCCCTAATACTTAATACTATTTTTTTAAAGTGAAAATGATATGATCAGTTAATTACACAGGAGGACTTGAAGAAAATTTCCAACACAAAAATCTTGAAATACACTTTTGAAAAACACAAAAGGAAACAAATGCTTCACAACAAATCACTTAGGAGATCAAAATCGAAAGAAATAGCAAAATGTAATAAACATGATTAAACCAGAAGTCATCAAGAAAGAAGAAAAGACAGCTATCTTAAACAAAAATGCCTTTTTTCAAAACTGGAGAACAGGTAGGTTAAGCAGGTCCTGTCTGGGGATTGGTGCCAGTGTGTGTGTGGGGAGGATATAAGGAAAGGGTGTAGGAGGATGAATGAGGTGGAAATACTCTGTACACATGTATGTATATGGAAAAATGAGACCTGTTGAAACTATTCCAGAAATGGGGGGTGAGGGGGGAATAAAGGAGAATGATGGAGGGGGTGAATTCAACTATAGTAAGAACTTTGGAAATGTCACAATGTTCCCCCAGTACAACAATAATATGGTTAAAAAAAAAAAGAAGAAAAGCCACATCCAAACTACAAAAAAGCTACAGAAGTATTATGTAAAATAAGGAAGGTTCTCTTAGGAATTATTCAAAGATGAGTAATAAAAGAAAACAAAGACTTTCCAGAAGAAAAAAAACCTTAATTCCGTTTTTCCATTTGCTTTGCCATTCAACTATGAACTTATTTAGAAATAGGTGTGATAAAAAGTAAATAAATTGCTTTTGGGATAGAAAGGTAGATTATTTGAAGATAGGATGACTGTCCTTGCTGTTCTTTGTCAGCACTATGGTTTGAACTCAGGGCCTTGTGCTTGCTAGGCAGGCATTCTACCACTTTATTGTACCCCTGTCTTTTATGCTTTACTTGATTTTTGAACAGGGTCTTGCCTGCTGTTTATGACCAGGCTGGCCTGGACTTGATCCTCCTATGCATGCTTCCTAGAGTCCACTTATTTTATTTTGAATGAAGGAGAAGAGCAAAGTTTAGCCTTGGCTTGCTCCTTAGGAAGGCAGTTTCTGAAATAAGTGTGCTGTAGATTTGGGGAGAAGGGGACTGCCTTTTATTGCCCTAAATCATTCAATCATTAGCTATGGACCAGAGATGAGGAGGGGCAGAGATGTTGAGATGGAAGGCATGGGTAACTTCTCTGCATCAGCTGAAGGCAATTCTTTGGTGAAGGGTGGATGGTGCTCTGATCTGATAAAGGGGCCCTGGTTAGCACACCACAGGTAGTACTCCATTTATATCTACCAACCTCCAATCTAGCTTCAAAAGAGTAATCATGGCTCTAATGTTGTGGTTTTTGACCTACAATGAAATTGCAGACTCCTCCTGCCTTCGTTCCCCCTTCCATATAAGTATATCACATTATCCTTCTGTAATGATGCTTTTATTTTGTGCAAAAGTAATTAATTTCTCTAGAGAATTTAAGGAGTTAGAGAGAAAAGAAGGTCTTTTTATAGGCTTTCATTTACAGAAAAGTAGAAATGAATCATTCTGAGTTCAAAACCCAGCTCAGGTGCTTAGCAACCATTTGACCTGGGTTTGAGCAGCTTAATTAATTACCTAGCTTCAGCATCCTGCTCCTAACTAAAATGAGAATGATAATAATGTTCGCTTCATAGGGTTGTTATGAAATCAAGTGACATACATGCATTTGGTGCTCAGTAATTGTTATCTATTCCTATGGCTCAATAATAACCATTGCCAAGATTTTTTTGCGTGTGCTTTTCCTAAATTATATAGACAGTGTTTTGAATATCAAAGACGTGGCAAGTAAACCTGTCCATCCCACTCTTGTGGTTTAGATTTAGAACAATCTGCTGTTGTTACTAAGTAACAGACTGGTTATTGATTATTATGGTTGGAGAGAGTGTGGTTCTCATTTTTGCTTAGAAACAAGCTGTCTTAATCAACTGGTATGAGAATTTAAAAAATTTTGAACATTGAAGAAAAAACTCTTAGAGGAACTGCTCACCTCGTGTGTGTATTTTAAAGTACTTTAAAACTAAAAAGCAAGCTCAAAAGTTTTATTACCACCAAATAGCAATAATGATCATTAAAATATTATGAAAAGGTTTGAAATTGTTCTTGTTAAAAGGACCAAAAGAATTTTGGATGTGTTTTTAGCAAGGAACATTAAAAAATATTCAATGCCAAGTATCCACTTGTGTTTTTGATTCCTAAAATTCAAACAGTCTTTGTAAAAGGCAAACCCTCCCCTGAAATTGTGAAGAGTGATTTTGTTAAGCAGTTAACATCCACTTGATCTTTGGACAACATATATTTTGTGAAATCCTCCCTGTCATCCATTATCAATTACTGGTTTGGTGGGGGAGCTCTAGCAGTGAGCATAGATGAACAGAAACCCATTCACATAACTGG